CCAGTTCACAACAAGTATAGTTCTCTCAGTCACACAAAAAAAACAAACAAAACAAAACAAAACCAACAAAACAAACAAAAAAAACCCAAAACAAAACACAAAAAAAAAACCCAAACCCCCTAACAAACCAAACCAAACAAAAAAAACACATGCAAAGGATTAAGGCATCTTCTTTGGCCATGATTGGACAGGTACATTTCCAAAATTGAAGAAATTACTTCAAGGACTTTGAAACAGTGGGAAATAGGGGGAAACTCAGTGCAACCAACTGAGAAAAAATTTCCTGTGGAAGAAGAGAACTGGGAGTGAAATCCAGACATCTCTCCTTAAGCCTCTTCCCATAGACAATTTTTTCTATGCTCTTCATACTGTCTTGGTTCCAGGTTTCTTACATCTAGCTGTTGCAGAGAGTCAGCTTCAACTGGACCATTAATCTCTTCTCCTCAAACAGCTGGAACTGCATTATGAGTGCATGTCCCATGACTGAGAGGTATTTCTTCTTTATCAATGAAACTAAATGGTCTGCTCACTGTCTGCATCCAAACACCCAAACACCCAAACATCCACCCACAAGAATATATCTTCTTTTTAACTTCCACTTCTCATAAATTTATTTCATTTTTCTCATAGATTATTAAAGACTTGCTTCCTATATGTGTTTGTATTCCTGAGCGTTGCTTTTGGCAAAAAAAGGCCACGATGTCCTTTCATTTTCTTTTCATACCTAGAGGCAACAGAGGGAAGTAATACATAGGCTTTTTTAATCAACTGCTTGGGGTCATTGACTGCATGATTTCTCAGCTGGTGTCCAGAATTGCAAATCTAGTTCTGTGTTGTTCCCTTACTGCTCTGCTATTTCTGCACTTGCAGATGCTGCTCTGGGTCAGTATCTGTCGTGGTTTAAGCTGAGTTGTCAAGTGAGCACCACACAGCCACTTGCTCAGTCCCCACCACCTCGCTCTCCTGGGACAGGGGAGAGAATCAGAAGGATTAAAGTGAGAAAAGTCGTGGGTTGAGATAAAGACAGTTTAACAGGGAAAACAAAAGCTGCGTGCATAAGCAAATTGAAACAATAATTTGATAACCACCTCCCATGGACAGGCAGGTGTTCAGCCACGTCCAGGAAACCAGGGCTCCATCAGGAGTAACAGTTAACTGAGAAGACAAATGACATCCCTCCAAACATCCCCCCCTTCCTCCTTCTTCACTCCTCTTTACGTGCTGAAATGATGTCCCATGGGACGGAATATCCCTCTGGCTGGGTGGGATCCCCTGTCCAGCTGTGTCCCCTCCCAATTTCCCAGGCATCCACAGTCTCCTTGCCACCATGGCAGTCCAAGGAGCACAGAAGGCCTTGGCTCTGTGTAAGCACTGCTAAGCACCAACAAAAACACCTCTACTACCAACACTGTTTTCTGCACAACTCCAAAACATAGCCCCAAAGTAGGTACTGTGAAGAAAATTAGTTCTATCCCAGCCAAAACCAGCACAATATCCTACAAGACTCCCAACTTTGTGAGTGCCTTTGCAACAGTTTCCGTTTGATACAGCACTGATTCCTGTACCTCCATGCTTTATTTTACTGAATAGCTCCTTTCCATCCTCAGAGACATTCTTTTCAGTAAATGCTTCCATTTTTAAAATGGCACAAAATGTACTAAACTCATGTTCTCACATTATTCTCGTTTATTTTTAAGCAGAAAGCCCCTTTTATTCAAATAAATGCATAATTGTTAATGCTCACTAATAATTTATAGTCTTTGAAAGACTTCAGGTTCACATAAAGATAAAAAATTAGGATAATATGATACCCCTCTAAAAATCCCCGTGAAATAAAATGTAATTAAAAGTGTGGTTTTTCCTGGGTGAATAAATTGCACATATTTGAGATTTCTTTCATCAATAATTCATATGAAGTGTTTTTGCATGTTTTTCCACCCCCCACACCATCAAGATAAGTTTGGAAGGATAAAGCAATATAACAAATTCATAGAAATTTCATGTTCAATGAACGCTAAACACTTGACAACCACCCACAAAAGCAAAGAAAGTACTGACTTCCATCACATAGCTCTATTTTATGTTTTTCAAGAAGAGATCATTCTGAGCAAGTAAATAAGAGCAATTTCCCCATCAAATCTCCCAATCTTCTGCCCTGTCAATCCACTCACTTTTTGTGTTCATAATCAGTATCAAGATCTTTGCCTCTTCCCCTGCAAGATTTCAGTATTAAGCATCTGATTTCATTTTCTCATGCTATGCTCCAGTGCTTCCACTGCACCCTATAGGGATATTACCGTGCTGGTTTTCAAGTGCTAAATATAAAACAAACACATGTCAAACCACGGACAAAGTTGAAAGGAAACATACTTTAATGTAACTAAAGAAGAATATATTTAGCGTTTTGCTACTAATCAAGGATGAAAATAAACTTGTCAACACCGTGTCTAACTGAAACCCACACCCTACTCAATTCTTTCTGCAGCATTTATTATATACAAAAAGTGGATTTAGTCTTTCTTTCTTTCTTCTGAGGAGTGACTGTTAGTACTCTGTTACTATTGCTGGCCAGGAAGGGCTTCTGAACTGCAGCATAAAGCACTTCCATCCTTTCAGGCAGTGGGTTTGTCTATCAATCACCAGTAATGCAGCCCTCTGAGTGAGATGCATTTGGGCAGCGGTGCATATCAGACTTCAACCTGGAATCCTTCCAAAACCAAATACGAGTGTACAGGGGGAATTGGCAAGACACTCACTCCACAGAGAGTGAAAAGTGAGTCCTAAACCAGAACGTTGTTTTCTTTTGTCTTTCTTTCATTATTATTGTTAATTTGGACTCTCCCTAAAGCAGTACTGTTCCTATGTCCCTAGAAATGAACGCTCATCCAAAAACCATGGGATTACATTTTTAAATATTGCCTTTGAAACAATGTAGATCTATATTTTTAGTATTTTAAACTACCTGTACTTTTATTTTTAACATCGAGGAAACAAGTACTACAACTGTATACACTGATCTTCATTTTGGAGGTCCTGCATTCTAATTAAACCTGATATTGAAGGCAAGAACCATTATGCCTGCTTTATTTAGCCCTCTAAAACACAAAGCCAAAAATTTGTTCTAACATCTTAGAGCTTGTTTCCTGGCATATGGAATTCAAGGCAGAGCAAAAATATTGATAAATGAATATAAATTAATGTGGTAGCGTTGTGAAACTATACTGTACAACTGTATGAACATTTAAGAGAGAAGGTAAGGAAGAAAACCGGAAAATGCTCTTAGCAAAAGCTGTTACTGTCACCCCTACAGAACCTGCAGGTTCCTGCACCCACCACCACAAAGAAGAATGTTCAGCAGACCAAGGCACTATGGAACCTCCTGGTGTGAAAGAGCCTCTGGCTCCAACAGGGGTGTTCCTGTGGAACAGGAAGATTTGCTCTAATACCCACCAGGTTCTAAGGTTGACTGCTTCAGTGTGTCACCTTTTTTCTCCCATATCCATTCAATTGCAAATGATTCCCTTACCCATCAGTGTAGCAGACATCAACAAACTCCATTCTAAACTTGAAATACACTAATATTTTAAATATTAATATTTAAAAGGTTCATTGGTTCCAGTAAACTTTCAAGGAAGCTCGTAATGTCTGTAAAAGGAGCAGTTGCAAAGTACCATTCTGGCAGGATCTTATGTAAGCATTACTGGAGCCCTAAAAAGCTCCTCATGCTTAATAAGGGCCACTTGACTTCTGGCAGTAGGATTCCAATGGCCCAAATTAACTTTCAGGTGTGCAGAAAATAAAAGTGAATCCAAGGCTAATCATCTAAAGGGAAAAACAAAATCCAGTAATATCCTCCAGTACGTATGCTGTGGTACCTGCAATGAAATTTCTTAACTTTGACAGTTGGTATGCATCTTTCCAAATAAAATGAACTTCCTCTTTTAGGAAAATACAAACTATTCCTTTCCCGGAAGGAATCACTGTAGAGTCACCATGTCAATGACACGTGATGGAAATACCTCATCAGAAAGTAAAAGACTGGCAAGCATTCATCTGTGTCATCAGGGACTGACACAAAGCCTAACAGAAAACTTCAAGGTCTTCATGATTTAGGATTGTCCCAAAAGCCACAACACTCCAAGGCAGAAATAACACTCGGAATTTTCCGAAGATTTGCAGAAACATGCAGAAGTGAGAAATAAGCATTGCTGGTTTCTACAAGATGTCTTTACACTGGTAAAATTATAGCACAAAACTAAAAAAACATTAGTAATTCACATAGCAAAAAATTATCTTGCAACATGCTGCCATGTGCATTTTTAAGATGGGAGCTTTGTAAAAGTATAAGCAGGGTAGCTTGGAATATGTGATCAATTTCTCCATTTCTGACACTAAGATTTCACTTCAATTCCTTATTTTCTAAGGATTTACACCCTGAAGTTAATGTGTTCTCATTTAGTATGAGATACGTAGAAATACATCTTAATACAACATTAAAACAGAGGGAAGAAGAAAAAAAATGAAAAAAAAATCCTAGTACGTTAGAAAATGTGGAAGTTCAAGAAATTACTCATTTGCCATATTTATCCTACAGAGATTTTTAAAATTTATAATAAATATCCACAGATGGAGATTCAAATCAAGAAATCATATTTCAGTCATTCTTGGTGCTGACAATTCAGAGCAAGCACATTCAGCAGTCAGCATCAGTCTGCCACATTTCAGCTTCAGAAATATATTTATGGCTTTCATTATCAACATACAGTATTATAAACATCTTAGAAAAAATCCTAACTATACAAAAAAACTGCAAGATGGCTTAGTGTCTAACTGCTTGTTGACCAATTCATCTCCGAGTTCTTCAGACTTGTCCACAACTAAATCTACGGTGCCAACTTATTACTGTCAGCTTTGGAAGAACACGGGAACAAATTTGTATTTTGATTGCAAACCTGAGCCTCAGATTACTAACATAATTGCTGGATTACTGGAATATTTACCTAATAACTGCTGAGAAGCTCGGTCTCCTGACCTCTTCTAACACTCCCAAAGTGCTGGGCAGATCCCTTCGGAAGTATGTGGAATGTATCCAAACCGTCCGAAATCTAGAATGGGGCGTTTTTCTAAAAACAAACAAACAAAAAAAATTAGCAACCATTGTTCTAGACTTTCTTGTATAATACTGCCAATACCTACAGGTAAAGACACATTCTTTCCTTACAAAAGAAATCACATATTCTGAAACTTTGTAACATTTTTCTCCAGGGAATCTTGCTTTGGAAGTACTACTTCCCTGTGTTATCAGAGACATTATATTTACTCACCGTGTAGGAAAACCCCTGGCATAATAACTGCTTTCTGTCACTTTTTGTTCAAAGTAGCATTGACACAAATCTTATTTCTATTAAAACCAACATCACAGCACTTAAAAGAGGGACAAAAGCTTCTACAGATGCCAAGTCATTGTATATTTTGAGATACTCTGCAGAATTTGGGGGACAACGAATTCCCACAGAGAAAAGTACTTCTACCCTTTCAAGTATGCAAAGAACCAGCAGGGTTTCTCTGAACATTATTGAGATAGGTACTAGCACCCTGGCACATAAAATTAATGAGGGATTTAGGCAGAGAAGTACACTGAATTGTGGGGTGGGTTGAATATGTGCGTTTGGTTGGTTTAGAGGGGATTTGAGAAGGAATAAAATCTAATTTTGGTACTCAAAATGCAAATACATAAGAAAGGCACAAAAGCAATCAATACTGAGACCTTAAGTCAGTTCCTCAGAGTTCAGCACTGAGTTCAAATTGCAGGATCAACTGCTTTTCCCTTCTGCTTACAGTTATGTGTGGTTTCAACAGCAGAAATTCAAAAAGACCTCACAGATTATGGGCTTCCAGCTAAGCACAGAAAGCACAGCAAGATATTTGACTTGCATCTCCAGAGATTTAACTTGTTCTACATTTCAGCCTCCACCGGGTACCACTGCCAAAGGACGAGCCCATTTTAACCTTAACCGGCTCTGAAGAGACCCGGCCGCACACGCAACACGACCCGCACAGATGATGAGCTTCGCACGCTGAAATTCAGGGGGAGGAGGGACGGGAAGAGAAAATTAATACCTTTAATCCCGAAACGCCTCCCGGCTCCCTGTTCCTCACACTGCGACACGCGCAGTCATCCCATCCTCCCTGCCCGCGCCAGGGCTGCGCTCGGGCACCTTCCCGAGGGGCCGCCGCTCCCGCCGCACCTGCCCCGCGGGGCAGCGCCGCTCCGCCCGCCCCGGGCACTTCTTCCCCGCGCTCCCGCCCCGCAGCATCGCCCCGAGCCGCCGGCAGACCCCGCTCCGCCACCCCCGCAGCCCCCCGGCCGGGCGGGGCTGCCCGTGCCCGCCGGCGATGCTGAATCACGGCGGGCCGCTGAATCGGGGGCGGCAGCGGAGGCGGGGGCAGCGCCCGGCGCCCCTCACCCGGAGCTCACCTGTCCGGCAGCGCTCGGGGCTCGCGGGCGGCGCGTGCGGCGCCTCACGGCGGGCGATGCCGGGCGATGCCGGGCGATGCCGGGCGGTGCCGGGCGGGGCGGTCCCGCGCGGCCGCATCCGCGGGGCACGGGCGGGAGGAGGAGCGGGAGGTTACGGCGGGGAGCCGGGACGAACCATTCCCGCGAGGGGGCACCGCCGGCGCACGGGCGGGCGGGGCCGGGGCGGACGGGCCCTCCCACACAGGTACGTGCGAGGAGAACCGCCCGAGGGCCGGCGGGCGGCGGCCGCGGAGCGGGGCCTCCCGGCGCGGCGGGCGGGGGCGGCGCTGCCGTCCGCCGGTGTTCCCCC